ATAAATTAATTAATGATAACTGATCTCATGTGTTGATTAAGTTATTGAAATATATAGGAATACAATACCGGGTGAATTGGGTTTGTTTGTCGGTGTAACTACAGGTGTGGCTATATTTGTTAAAGTCGTTGGTCGCTGCGATGACCCCTCAGTCAAACTAATTATCAAAATCAGTAGAAAATGAGATGATTTGACAAACATATCCATAAGTATTGTACATAAGATTTTATATAACATTTTATAACAGATCCAATTATACAATTTAAATACATGAACAAATGCTAATATTTAAGCGCGCTTTTCATTGTTTGATAGTTTACAGTATTTGTTAATTCAATAATAATATACTAAAGTATTTAAGATGTTTGCACAATTCATAGTCTACACCTTTCCTAATCATAACCATATGATTTGGATCATATTATATGGACTACAGAATATCTTTTGAATAATTCTATTTTTAGTAATATATTATATTTCATTTTGATCAACTAATAAAATATTTATTATTATTATTTATTTAATTTATTACGTTATTTAATCATTATAATACTGTATATATATAATTTTTGAAAACTAGTGTTATTTTATGAGATATTTTTCCTATTCTCATTTAAAAGTCATATTATAGTGCTTTTAATTTCCAACATACGATGGATTATGAGTGAAATGGATCATTTATAACAATAATTTTAAACATGCTCTTGGCTAATGATCCCTGGCATAATTAATTTACCCATTACAGTACAGTATATTGATTTAAAGTTTATTAAACATATTTCCAATTAATTTAAACTTTAATCCATTCTTTAAAAACAATTCCTAATTCAAGGATTTAATGAATTAAGTTTTGGGTGTTTTCCTACAACTAAGTTTTAAATTGATAATACAGTATTTATAAGGTATCAAATATTTACTGTATAAATAGAAAAATATATAAATTTAATAAATTCTTTGTTTCATTTTAAAGAGTTAATAAATACGAAGGACTAACAAATTGCATGTATTTTTCAATATACCTTTTCATGTGATTCTCTAATAACTCATAATTTATCACATATTCTACACTAATATATGAAATGTTTTAAAACCAAAACCAATAATTAATTTGAGAATTTTATTCAATTATAGTTTAAGTAAATTATAGAGAAATCCTTCGCCTAATGTCTTACTTTGTTTGCTATAAATGTCATATATTTAACTCAAACCAAACGATCATTAAACGGCAATAAATATTTTTACTTTTTTGTCTGTAATACTCATTTAATAATAATTCTATGACTACTGAAAAACATTGATTTAATAGATTATTAAAATCAAATTAAGGATTTTTGGCTCCTTTTGTACTAATTATAACTTGAAATTTATGTGAAAACAAAAGAAAATCTGAATTCATTGATACAATTCTCAAGTCTGTCATTGGATCAGAAAATTTGGTCATAAAATGTGAAAACAAAAGAAATTTTCAAACCTTGTTTGGAGTCAAAAATGTTTCTAAAATTAAGAAAATCTGTGTATTTTAAACGCAAAGTCAGACCCAATGATAGGACACCCACTCATGTCATGAATTCATATGAAATCTGATAATAATTTCACATTTAGGGATCAATAGTTTAATTAAGAGCCAAATGAGTCCAGTAAACAATAACTTTTGCCAAATATTGCAAAACTTGAAATTAGATTTAAATTATATCATGAATTTAATTATAATATTCTATTATAACAAGAATTCGTGTTCAAAAGCAATTTGTCTGAAAATAATTCACTGAATGTTTGGGTTGAAAATGATTATAATATTATCCTTGAGTCTCATCTGTCAGTGCTTTACAACTATAAGAATCCCAGAGTTTATGTGATTATCTTCAAGCATAAAAAGTAGAAGTGATTCACAATTAATACCTAACCACACATTATAAAGTAAGATAGAAATGATGGCACTTTGTGTCAAAACATACCAAATAAAGTGATGTTATATAACGTAAGGCTTTTTCCTGCGAACCACTCGTAAGAATCAATTGACGACTCGCTGTCCTTCGCTTTCATTCAATTGCGAGAACTTTTGATTTCAAGAACGCCTGTCGCCCACAGATATATAGATATATATTTCCAATTCTTGTGTATATTATTTACAATTCATTACATGTAAGCATTTATTGCTTTTCACAAACCTTTAATTGTGGTCCATTAGGAAATTGCATCACTATTTGTGCGAAATTCCCTTTTTCTATCAACAACTTTGTCCGCACATACACTCCAAACCGTTTTGTTAACATAATTCTAGTGTTGATTTCCATTCCCTGAATGTAACACTAATTGCAAACATGAAATATCTTGTGTTTTTCTACTGTTTAGGTAAGTGATGAGACATTTAATTTATTTTAACTAATCACTTTATCATTTACCAATTAAAGCAATCAAGCAATATATTTTACAGAGTTTACAACAACTTTTTTAGAAATTTTATGTTTAATTAGGTTTTAAAATAATGTTTCTTCATTTTAATGTATTATAATGAAGTTATACAAAATTTTTAGGAATGAACTCAAAATTTAAATATATTAGTATTTATTTAACTTAGGTGTTGTTGACTTAAAAAACCAAAGCAAATATTGCTTATTATTATGGTTTTATTTTTCTAAAACTATTTGGAAAGTCCTTGTAATCAATTTTAAATTTAATATACGGTACATTTTAACGTTATGAGAATCGTAATAAACTACAAGAATTAATTTTATTAAAATTTAAACATTAGTTTAAAACATTGTAAATCAAAAGAATAACACTTAAAAATAACAAGTTTAACGTTTCTAAACTTTTATATAAATTAAATCTAAACCAATGAAATTAAATACAAAGAAATCATTGAGAATACGATAAGAAAGTAACAAACCTTAAGGGCTTTTGGGGAATACATGACTCTATAGCAGAAAACAATGAATTTTAAGATTAAATAAATCTAATTAATTAGATGTTAATGGTTTGAATTGAACCACTATTTAGCACATATACTGCCTCAAAGTCTAGTCGGTGTGCAACAAGTGGTTCAGTCGAGTGCTTCCGATGTGGTGACGGTTTACCGTAACAACAACTGCCGGTACCGAACGTACGGCAACTGTAGGGTGCGATCAGTGCCCTGTCCCGCGTCCGCTCAGTGCCATTTGACAGCACCGGTAGTCCAACAGCAACACGTCGATGTGATCCAACAACACGTCGATGTGCCTCAAGTGGTCCAAAGCCATGTGGATGTCGTGCAACAGCACGTCGATGTGGTTCCTCTGGTCCAACAGCACGTGGATGTGATTCATGTGCCGCGACAGACCAAGAGGATAACCGCCTGTCCTCAGGGCCACTACCTGTCACCCGATGGCACGCATTGCAAACACATCGACTGCGACGTCGGCTTCACATTCAGCGATGAATACCTGAAATGCGTTGACATTAATGAATGCGAGCGACACGTCTGTCTTCACGACGAGTCCTGTATTAATACTCACGGATCGTATATCTGCCGAAAGATCTGCACTCAATCCGGATATCGATTGGATGTCAGAACCAATACATGCGAAGACATCAACGAATGTATAGAAGGAACACATCTTTGCGGTTCTCAACAGACTTGTATTAACAGACCCGGAGGTCACGAATGTCAGTGTCCGCCAGGTTTTAGGCTCAATGGTCCGCACTGTGAAGATATCAATGAATGCCTTCACTCACATGCCTGTCCAGCGGAGACCTCCTATTGTAATAACATTCCCGGAAGCTATCGGTGTGTCTGTAAGACTGGATTCAAAGACGACGGAAGCGGAAAGAATTGTCTCGATATTAACGAGTGTCTCAATGGGAACGGCGGCTGTTCTCACCTCTGCATCAATAAGTTTGGTTCATATGAGTGCTCGTGTCCTAAAGGCTACGAACTGTCGCCCGACGGCCGTACCTGTCTTGACGTCAATGAGTGCGCAAAGTATGGCTCATCACATCTCTGTCCGCCAGAGACGTCCAACTGTGTCAATACTCCCGGTTCTTATGTCTGCGACTGTAAGCTAGGGTTCAGAGACGACGGCAGCCGTAAGAACTGTCTGGACATCGATGAGTGCTCAGAGCACACACACCTCTGCCAACAGAAATGCGTCAATACTTTCGGCTCCTATAAGTGTCTCTGCAATCGAGGCTACCGTTTGGTGGATACCCACCGCTGCGAGGATATAGACGAGTGTCATGAGGGAGACTTCATTAACTCTGTTGCCTACAGTCGATTCAAGTCAGACAGCGGTCGACCCCAACTATGTCAGGGTCATTGCGAAAATACATTGGGCTCTTACCATTGCACGTGTCCTCATGGATATAAACTCCAATACGATCACCACTGCGTGGGTTAGCACTCCATTCAATCACACTATAAATTAATTAATGATAACTGATCTCATGTGTTGATTAAGTTATTGAAATATATAGGAATACAATACCGGGTGAATTGGGTTTGTTTGTCGGTGTAACTACAGGTGTGGCTATATTTGTTAAAGTCAAACTAATTATCAAAATCAGTAGAAAATGAGATGATTTGACAAACATATCCATAAGTATTGTACATAAGATTTTATATAACATTTTATAACAGATCCAATTATACAATTTAAATACATGAACA